AGCGGATTTGGGCTGTACTCAGCAAGCGCAGTACAGCCCCCAACTCAGATTTGAAAAAAAATCAGTGGATGGTTGTTTTCTGACTGGTCGGCAGATTGCCGACCGGTTGGCCCTACTGGTCAGCTGCAATACGGTCGGCGGCCGAGGTCGGTGGTCGGCAGGGATGCAACCCTGCTCTGAGTCTGACCCACAATTCCATATATCTCAGTATACCCAATGCATGTGCTCTTTCACGGGTGGCTTCTGAAGCACGCCGAGGCCTGGAGCCTAACACAGTGCAGGAGACTGCATGTCGCAGGTGTGCGGCAGGCGGACGTGATGGTAAGGCCAGGTATTTCCATCTGTGTGGCTGAGATTCGGTTATGGTCTGAGGCTGCCTGAACCCCGTATGTCGTTAATGCATCTAGAAAATTATGAAAATATCTCTGAGCCTTTGATGTGTGTATGATCTGTGGCTGTGGTCAAGTTTTGTACAAATTGTCAAATTTGTCTCTCTCGGGATGCTGGACTCGGTGGGGCCTTACCATTGAGTCAACTTCTCAAGGGCCTGAGTACTCAGTTTGGTGGCTGTTCCCTCCCTAAAGGTGTTGGCCCCAGGACACACTCCTCTGACCCTACAGCATGACTCTTGGCCCAGAAATGTGACTCAGCCAAAAGCTACAGCTCCCAAAGACTTTTGCATTGCCGGTTTTGACCATGGATTCTTACAATGTCATGCTCTTGTATTCTCAGAGAAAGAAAGGAACCACTTGAGTGAAGCGCGAGACTATGACAAAGTGACATTTCCTCAGTTTCCTTGATGTGATGTTCTGGCTTTCTGCAACTCGCTCTCGTCCATTCGCCGTTCTGCAAGTTACGGAAAAGAAACTGGCCAAGTTTGATAAGTTGATCTGTGTGTTGTGGACCTGCACAGGAATCCGAAGGCCGAGAAGGTTGCAGCAATGCTGCTGCCACCAGCCACACAGGAAAGCACAGCGGCTCACAGAAGGGGGGGAGGTGGGGAGGGTGGTATGGGTAGTAAGGTGGAGGATGCCTCGGAAGCGGCAAGATGGTTGGGCGCTGGTCCAAGCAGATCTGGGAACTCCTCTGTGGTTGTAGTGCCGTCGGTGGGAGACGCGGGAGGGTGGACTGTGGATTTGACGCTGGGGACAAATCAGGTGATTCCAGGACAGAGTGGGGGACGACCTTCGACGCACACAAGTAGCATGGATGGGCGGAAAGAAGGAAGGGAGGCAGAAGAACTGAGCAAGGGGGATCATTGGGTGGAAATGGGTAGCTGGCCCAAGCAAAGCGCTGGGTCATCACCATCAACTGTACAGGTGGAACGTGCGGAACCGGTAGTGCTCCCCCATTTAGGGATGACACGACCGTCATTAAGTAAATCTGACGTAGTAAGAAAGACGGCTGAGAGAGGCAACGGTGGCAAGGCAAACGATGGAGAGATTGCGGCAAATATAGCATTTACAGCCTTGCGTTCTGTGAATGAGGGTCAGAGATCGCTTCCACATCGCTTGCCTAATAATCCTGTGATGCTGTCCTCAGACACAAATCTGCCCACTGAACAGCTGAACCTTTACCTCAAGATGCTGGGACCGGATGGCCGCCTCAGATTAAATTCACTTTGATTTCTTAACATTGTCTCTATGCTCTTCTTACCTGCTTCGCCTCCTTGTTTGCTTTGTCATTTGCGGGATATGTGTCGAACACCGACGCCGTATCCTGTTCGTTGCAACCATCGAATCGGGGCATCGAAAAACCAGGTGGGTTCTCTCTCCCTGATCATGGCGTCTGGAAGGCAAATGATGAAGACAACAAAACAGGCGACGCGCCCACTTGCAGGGAATAGGTAAATTGATACATGCTAATAGTTGGAATGTGTGCACTGCTTATTGTTGTAGTACTGCCTTTTGTCTTTTTCAAAGCTTGTCTTTTCACAATTATTGGTCTGGTCTCGGGCGGGCGGGCTATTTTCTGGCAGTTATCGCACTTGATTTCCCTGGTCTATTTTTCGTTGATTCTTCACATCCTGCTTGCCGCTTCATCCGCTTAGGGCTATTGCTCTTTTCGTCTTTCCCATGTTTTTTTTTTTTTTTTTTTCCCTACAAGACTACACTATATTCTTCTGTCAAATTCTTTCGCGATTCACTACCTACCTACTCCTAAGGCTATATAGAGGGGGACACTTGCAAGCATAGCTACCCCTCACGGCGAAGGGGATATTGCATGTGGCCTCTTGCCCTAATGGGGGTGTGGGCTAAATGCAAAGACCGAGCATTTTCCCAGTACCTGCACCTCCCTTTTCATCTTTCGCCCACCCCCGACCGAGTAGCAGCAGTGTCTAAGGCCAACGCTCTCCCACACACCGCACACAACCCACTCGCCGAGAATGATTTTTCTTTTTCTCCCAGCAAACAGGAAGGAACTTATGGGACTGGCTCCATGTCCATTCTGGGTCTGCGTCAGCCCGGTTCCTTTTCCACTGCCAAGGGGGCGAAGGAAATACAAGTTGCCACACCCATCCTCCCTTCCGTTGACACAGAGGAAAAGCACCCCTGATAGGCATCGAGTACCCTTTGTAAGTGAAGATTGACTTTCAGGTATCCTCTACCTTCTTTGATTCCTCTCTCTCCATCTAGCTGGGATTGTCAGGGGCAAGCTGATGCATGGTCCGGACCAAAACCAGGAGCACCGTGGCTACTCAACTTGCAAGAAAACCATCTGGCGGGGACCCATATGGACTGGCAGTGGGCCGGTCCTGCGAAAATCACGGTGTTCGTTGCCATTGAACAGCATCACCGCTCCGTCCGATGACCGGAGTGGGTGTGGCCCAATGGTCTCCTCCGGAGTAGACCATCTGTTTTCCTGAAATAGGCCCAATACTGTACTTTGCCACCTGAAAAGGAAAGGAAAAAAAAAAAAGAAAGAAAGGAATGCAAGATCCCTTCTCCTCATTTCGGGAACAGATGGATTTTAACTACTCTATGAGTCTATATTCTTCTCTCGATACTCTTTTTATCTCACACTTGTTACGATCCTGGCCAATTTGGAAGTACACATGCATCAGAAAGTAGAATACCGTCCAATTGCAAAAATAAATGAATGAACTTGAGAGGAGAGAGAGGGAAAGACGACGACGACGACGAAGAAGAAGAAGAAGAAGAAAGAAAGAAAAAGAAGATGATGTACACCAGCATACTAGACCAATGATAATGCTCTTCTTCTTCGCCAACCACTCTCCTCCTCCTTATCTCCTCCCCTCTTATGCAAACCAGAAATAACAATAATAATGTTGAATGGCTGAACCAGAATCAATGTCCGAATCCCTCTTCTACTGCAGGYACAACATGAGGTCCACCATAGCCATGACCATCCTTCCTCTTCCTCACCATGTAGGCCAAGGCTATGGCGGACTACTGAGGGCTCTGCCCTCCTGTCCAAAGGACAACACTAAGAAGCTATGTTGATGCCCTCCTGTCCAAAGGACAACACAAAGCAGCTATGCCGCTGCTCATCGAGCCGCCATGCCTGACTCTGCCTCGAGCTTCCTTGGTGCGCCACTACTCCAACTGGGTCCTTCCAGATGCAGCGCCTATCAAGGTGATGAAGATGGTGTCCACCATAGCCAGGTAGGTACCTCGCCACTCTCCTCCTCAGTCCTCTTATCCCTCCTCCTCCTACCGGTAGAGCTCCACCATAGCCGAGGCGGGAGCTTCCAGTCTCCTTCCTCCTAGCAGCGCTGAAGTGCCCAGCGCTCCGTGAGCGAGCGCTCCAAGCAGTGTGTAGCCAAACTTGCACACCGAAGAATGAGGCTGAGCTCTTGGCTCAGCCTGAAGATATACCGGCCTACTTGCCTCTTGGGCGGTGACTTCCAGGCCGCTCGGCCTCCCAAGCAACAGGTACCTCATCATTGCAGACTCTGATATTGCCCGTACAGCCCCTAGACTCAGACTGGTTGGACTGGTACCTGCCTAGACCTAGCCTACAGCTACTGGGCCTCTAAAAATGCCAATTTGTCTTCTTCTGCTCGGCCTCAAGTACCCAGCAGATCTACGTCCACTTGGTGTGGTACCGGCCTACCTGCTACTCGAGTGTTTTTTTGCTGCTCTCAAGTGTCGCGGGCCTCTTGCCCGGCCACTTGTGTGTTTTGCCCCGCTGCAACCCTCAAGGCCACGGCTTCAGGTAAGTACTGGCCCTACGGGCTTCCCAAACAAGCAAGTACCCTTGCGGGTCACACACACACTCAAGCCGACAAGTACTCAGACAGGCACGCAGGTCACCAAGCACAGACACACACACAGACTTAGAAAACTCAGCAGAATGCAGGAATCTCAGCAAGGCATCCATTCCATCGGCAGAACTCGGAAATCGGCAGTGTTCTCAGTCTGTGTTATGGCGGGTCATTACACGCTACCTTTCCCCAGTCTCTGTACTTGGGTTTAGGGTCATAGACTACGGAAGGGAACGCTGACTGTACTACTGCCTATGCCTACCAGCTAACAACCTACCCTGCCTTCTCCTCATATGGGGCCTGGGACAGCTGCACTTTTGCTACTATATATTATTCTCTCAATATTCTTTTTATCTCACACTACCTACCCCAATGTATGTACTCGGGTTCAGGGTCAATAGACTAACGATGGCAAAAGAAAAAGAAAAAAGAAAAAAGAGAAGACTACCGATGGCAAAGCCGACCCCCTAAGCCTACCAGCTAACAGCCTACCCTGCCCTCTCCTCATACGGGGGGGCAGCTGCCTTTTTACTAGTCTATATTCTCGCAATATTCTTTTCACCTCACGCTACCTACCCCAATCTATGTACTTGGGTTTAGGGTCATAGATTACGGTAGGAAAAGCCGACCATACTACCCTCTAAGCCTACCAGCTAATAACCTACCCTGCCTGGAACAGATCACTAACCTAAAATGGACTAACTGGGACTAAGCTATCCTAAGGTTATGGGTATATGCCTACCTAATTCTGCTCTGTGCGGGAAACAGCACCCAAGCTCTTAACACCTGGCGCCGGCTGGAAAGACAGACCACACACTTCTGCAACCAGCCAGGAGGGACACGCCAACTTTCCCGATTGGTGAACCCGAAGTATACCACACGGGGGGTTGTGGGGAATCAAATGGATGCCGTGGGGAATTGAACCCACGACCTCCTGTGTACCCCGTACATGCTCAACCAACTGAGCTAGGCCTTTTTCGCTAGAGGTTGTTTTCACATCTTTTACATTTTCCGAGAACTGTGAAAAGGCAAGACGAAGTGAGGTACCAGTCAAGCAGTATTGCACTGACACAAAATCACATTACTGCCATGTTCATTTTGCCACTCTTTGGACGCCGGGGGTCTATGTGTCCGAAAAGGGATTCAACGGGGGTTTCCCGTTGAACGGACCAACGGCCGTTGAGACCCCGATCTAACGCCGCGTTTACCCGGGCGTTACAACGCGGAACGACGCAGCCCGCAAATTTTTTTTTTGCAGGCAAAAAAAGGGGAAAAAAAAAAAAACAAAAAAAAAACGGGCGTGTAGATTTTTTTGCGCTCTACATCCCCATATTTTTTATTTTATTTTTTGAGCATTCAAATTATTTTAAAAAAAAATCAAAAACCTAACCCGACTCAAAACACATCCATTTTTTTGTCTTATTTGACTGATTGATTGATTGATTGATTAATTGCTTGGTAGGGGATGGGTCGCCCACCCCCCCCCACCCACCCAATCACACACAAACACACACATACACACACACACACACACACAC